AAGATATATATATATTTTTTTTATCTTTGTCAATGTTAAGGATTTAAAGCCGTATACCCTTAACCGTACTACAAGGTAGATGGGAGCCCCTCTCCGTGAGTGCTCTGATTTTTATCTTGGCTACTGGGAACTAGGATATACACAAGCAATGATAGCTTTCTGGGTTATTGACTTTTCACTCTTATGTGTGTACACAAATATATACTACAAGTGACTATGTAAATCCTATCATATTGTGTTATCCTGTCTAAACAATAGTTTCGACTGGTGGACCATATAAGAATATGATGTTTAAGAGACTGAATATATCTGAAACTGCTATTTATAGAAGGTAACTACATATTGACTTCAATGATTTAAGGTGCAATGCTGTCAAATATTTCTACAGCAGCTATAGCGGTGGCACAAAATAAATCTCCTAATTAATTTATACTTCATATTAAAAAATGTTGGTTTTTTTCCAACTTGAAAGCAATGCTGCTAATTTATAATAAATAGTTCTGAGAAGTCAAAGCATGAGGAACCCACTCCTAATTATAATGGTAAATAACTTATTTATGTAAATAAGATATTTCAACAAAGAGCATTAGTTAAAGTTATGGCATATAATGGAGAGAGATTGGAAAATGTGTTGTTCAAGCACTAGTATTTTTGTTGGTTTTGCACAGGACTGGAGAACTTCAGGATGTTTTCCTAGTTGTATTTTAATAGCCTTTCCTGTCTTTGTGTCATCAGCTAATTGTTAAAACAGAGGAGGATGTTGTATTTTACTGCATTGCATGCAAAAAGTCAGTGAGTAAATAGAATGCAAGCAGCACTCCGTTTTGGGGACCGACCTTTGTGGGGAAGACTGGTATCTAAATAACTCAGTAGGCCAATCTTTCATGGTCATTATGAGTGCAACCACCAAAAGGATGGTTTTGATCCCACTCTTCCTCTCCCCGTGCTACTGGCACAAGTGTTTGTGCAGCCTGGTAGACTGAATTATAGAACTGCTCTGAATGAAAACTGTCCTCCCTCTCCCTTCCAGCTTTAGTTAAATTTAACAGGGATCCAGTTGAATGAACGCTTGCTCTGGCACAAGGGGAAGGGCACATGGGTGTGTGGTTTAGGGAGATTATGAAATTGTGGCATATATGAAAGTAAAACTGAAATGAATGGAAAATCATGCCTTTAGAGCAACGCTGAAGTGTCATGTTTTAGTTTGAGTGCAAAGAGTGAAATGTCTTAAATAAAAATGGATGCCAAGTCATCAATGAAAAGAAAGTGGAGAGGTAAAACTCAAGCTATTATTATCAAAGATCTGCTGCTGCTGGTTCATATTATAGGGGACGCTAGGTCAGGGCTGCTGTATGATTTTGTTGTCTCTTGTACAGCTATCCCCAACAAACTTCAGCTGTGTTATAGCTGAGGCAGAGAACAGGCATTTTTTAAATACAAGCAGCAGCAGCATAACTATTTGTGAAATAGAAGGAGCCTGAACAGAAAGTTCTTGCTCCCCAAGCAGCTGCAAATTCACAGCTTTCTCTAGAGGAAGGGAGGGAAGGCAAGTGGGTTTTGCCTGGAAATACTTGACCGTCTGGGCTCTTCAGTGTATTAGGTAAACAGTTCTGAGGATGCCTGTTGTGTCAGAGATATCTCTGTAGCCTTCCAACTAACTGCTCTTCATTCAGCTGTTCTCTAGCATTGAGTGTTTAGCACACGAAACTAGGCGAAAACTGGAACTTGAACCTTTATAACGCAATTCTCTCATCTTCTAAAACTGTAGCATTCGTTCAGAAGATCTCAATGGTGAACATCTACTCGGTTTGGTAGATGATAAATTGTACTTTATTGTAATATGTTCTTATATTCTTGACCGTCTCTTTTCCCAGCTTGCCCTGGAATATTCAATCATAAGAATAATAAGTAAATAGTTTCTAGCTGGTTGGAGTTGAATCCGTTGTCATGTCTTCCCACTTGGGAAGAAAAATTTTGGGCTGAAACCTGGAATGCAGGTTCTCTGTGCCGATGTGAGCATCGTTGCTAATAGACCACTTGCTTGAGTGCATGATAGACGTTTTATAGCTCTACGTGTGCTTAGACTGTGTAATTTTGTGTACAGATTTTTCATATAATTTTTTCCCCCGAACTAGCCGTTTTTCTCATGCATGATTTAAAAAGACACAATTATTAGCTCATTTGCATTATGGCATTTCTTGGACAATTCAGGCTGTATCACAGTCATCTTTCTTATAACCTTTAAGGAAATCTTGTCTGTATCAGCCAAGTTCTTCTAGCTCAAACATGTTTTGTTTTCTGTTTCCAAACGTTGGAAATGTTTATACTGTATTTTTTAGCAACATTGTTACTGACGTTTTATTATGTATCACAGCCTTTTTGTTATAATGGTATTGGAATGTCTTGACTAATTCTATAGCTAGGAGTTGATCTTTTGCATCATTGTGAAGGCTGTTATGTACGTGCTTTGTGCATAACAGTAAATAAATTCCTGGGACTTCTGACATTTTCCTGCTATAGCAGGTGAGTAAGGTGGATGAATTTTGGGGGAGTTACGCATTAAATCCATAGTTGTACTTTCTGGTAATAGAAGATAGTGAGAACACAGAATATTAGTGCATTTGACTTTCACTGGCAATTCTAATTTCCCAATAGACTTTATATTGTTTAGAAGTTAGGGTTTGCTGTGGGGTTATTCTGTCTTGACAGCCCTCCAATACTCTTCTCAGATTGGAGGCTCCTGACAGCCTTATTCTTATGAATCAGCCCCTACATCTTCAAGATCGTTCTTGCCATTTGACTCTTGTCAGAATCTCTCCCAGGGTAAATGTATTCAATAGGGTTTGGTATAAACTATTACATTAGTGAACCTGTACTCTCTTTCATACAGAAGAACATGGCTTTTCAGATTGCAGGCAGGTATTGCATACTGCAGTTGTCTAATGCCAGAGCTGTAGCGGTTCTTTCTGCTCTTCCAGAATTGAGTCAACAGGTAGTTGGTCAACGGCAATGATGGGTACTGTTTTCCAGGTATTGTCGAAGTGCACTTTTAATAAGTTCAGGATTTCTTTAAAGTTAATTCCATGTTTATAAACGACCAAAAAACCAGTAGATCATGCTTTGTTGTTAGTGTGTGGAGCAGAATACCTGCTATCTCGTAGGAACCTATGAAACTCATTGAAATGATTTTTCCTGTTTTTTTTTTTTTTCCATAACCCAGAATAGCTTTTTCTCTGATGTTAACGTGAGGCTTTCTTAATCATGGCCGCATCGGTTAGCTCAAGTCTTGGAATTCAGGCATCAAGTCCTTCAAGAAGGAACAAATGTTTGTTGGAGAGATTATATTTTCAAGTCCTGGTGCACATTTGATGCATGATTTAACTGAAAGTGGTGGTTGAAAATGCAGGTGATTAGGTTACAGGAACGATCTCTGGGCTTTGCTGCAAACACAAATGTTTTTGTGTTGACCTATTGCTTTGCTACTTGGCAGGATAGACATATTTCTTTAAGCCATGATCCCTAGTTCGTAAAGTTACATGGTTTCCTGTTTGTCCCTAATTCTGGTTCATGTCCATGTTTAAAGCTCCTTCATATTGCAACGAGGTAACAAGTTATAATAGATTTTTACTAAATCAGTACTCTGATCTTGAGCTCAGAACCTATTACTGTCCCCGCAAACCACCCTTTGCCACCCCTCTTTGCCACCCTTGCAGTTGCAGTGGCAGGAAGAAGGTGTGCTTTCACTGGGCGGTCACTCCAGATCACAGTCTAGCCTATTAGTGCAGGCAGCAGGTGTGATGCATCCGGCTGAGCTGAGCCAGCTGCGGCACAGGCCTGGTCTTGTTGCCTCTGGAATAGGAGGCTGCTGCTGTTACTGCTGCCTGCTCATTCTAGTCCAACTCTGAGCACAAGGCACCGGAGTACAAACCGTGGTGTGTTTTTGTAAGGATACCTCTGACCAGAGGAAAGAGACGCTTCTGCTACTGAAATGTGCTTATTGAATTATTATTTTGAAAGAGGTGTGGAAAACAGGATGTCAGGTTGTAGAATAATGCTAACAAAGGAAATTCAACTCTTTACTACAGTTAAAGGTCTGTACTCTTTGAACAATGATGGTTATGATTTTTATTTCAAAGTGTGTACAATGTGTGTACCAGTTTAAATAGATTTGTATATAAAAAGAAAGAAGAGCTATTTTAAACTAAGCCTTCTTTTATTTTCTGCATATTAGTGGTTCAGGAAAACTGTTGTACAAATATTCCAGTGACTTTGATATGCTGGAAATTTTTTATTCTTCCATGTGTAAAGCTGCTATCTTTCCAATAGTATAGAATTCAGAGGTAGCTCAGAAGGCATAAAATAGCCTTTCTGTATCTAAAAATGGAACAGTATTACGGTTTTATATGATTGGATATTTTGGAGGTTAAAAGAAAGATCCGATTCCAACAGGAGACGGAGACTCTTTCCTTAGCATATATTTTCCTCCCCATTTGGACATGGGATACAGGATTTTAAAATGGCATTCTGCTAGTATATACAAAACTTAGATTACTGTGGCAGCACACGTGAAAGTTTTGTGAAAGAGGTTAAGGTCATTCCATGCTTTAGGGGAGAAAGAGAAAATTGTCCTTTGAAATATTTGCAAGTGTGGCTACCCCCCCCCCCCCCCCCCCCCACCCCCAGAATGTAAAAGATGTAATCTTGGAGTGTTGCAAGTGGCCCCCCCCCCCCCCCCCCCAAGCCTCACTTTCTGCGGAAATGAAGTTGATTTGCCCAGCCAGGCAGGGAGACTTCTCTCTTCCATTACCTTTTTAACTTGTTGCCAATTTCAACTAATTTGTCAGGAAGCAGAGGCATTGGATGTAATTAAGTTCCTATGAATCCTGTGCACATAAGCTAATGGGTAGAGAAGAAAGGCCTCATTAATTCTTTCACTGAAAGGGAGATCAGGGGATGCTCAGAGAAACCTCACCGGAGCACATCCTGAGACCAGAAATCCAGAGAAGTCAGGATTCATGGATTTGCTGCTCTCAGAACTACAGGTTTAGTTTAAGTAGTGGATATTTGATATGTGCTATGAGCAGGATGGCAGAACGGCATTCACTGGTGAAGTGAGCAGACTGGTGAAGTGGCCAAAAATGTGCAATAGGTAAGCCTGCCACGAGTTCATTCTGCTGCAAGGGCGCTGCCTCCCCTGTGTAAGTTGTAAGAACGTTATTTCTAACTGATGTCAGTGCTGAAATGACTCGTTCACTGTTCTTTTTTCATATAAAAGGGAGTTTAAAGCAATACAAACGTTGCGTTCATTGATGTTGGGGCAATTTGGATGATAGGAGTACACTCATATGACTGGCTGTGACATGGCTCACGATCTTTCTCTTGTCTTTGTTCCAGTAATATGTCTGATGCTCTTGCAAATGCAGTATGTGAACGCTGCCAGGCTCGGTTTGATCCTGCAGAGAGGATTGTGAACAGCAATGGGGAGCTCTATCATGAAAACTGCTTTGTCTGTGCTCAGTGTTTTCGTCAGTTCCCGGACGGACTCTTTTATGAGGTGAGGCCACTGTAGTTATAAACCTATGGAAAGCTGTTTGACACATTGCATTGTAAGTCCTATCCTCTATAATGCTGAATGTCCTGTGTTCTATAAAAACTGAAGGTACTCGGTCTCTCTCCGGATTAAGTGTCTTTCTTTGTCCGCTTTGTTTGCTTCTCTCTGCCTGTCTCTCCCAAGTTAAATGGATGTGCCCAAGGGAATAGCCAGATGTTTCAATTACTGCAAGGTCCATAGCACCCCACAGCTTGAGAGCGTAAGAGCTGAAAAGTCGTCACTACCCTGAAAGATGGAAAAGGGAGTCTCTTTCCTTTTCATAACTCCAGCTGGTTCGAACGGGTATAAGTAACATCTTTAAAATTGTAGCAGGAAGCTGGCCGTGAAGGATTTGAAAAACATGGAGGGGAGGAAAAATGTGGCAGGTAACTTCAGGGGTTTTTCCTACTGTCTGTCTTGTACAATTGCTTGTTCCTTGTTGTTAGAAAAAGAGCAGGAAAAGGTCTTCTGACGCACAAGTCTGTAAAACCTGGAATGTATCAGTCTCATGTGACAAAGAGGTCACAGAGCTGTTTTCCAGCTGCACAACTGACATATTTTGTATCAAAACTTGTTAGTGATTTCTCCTCCACTTCCTTCACGAATGTGTAGCAGAAGAATTTGGGGCGGATGACGTGGCAGATGACATACGCAAACTTCCTCCTGTCACGGAACCTAGTCAAATGACTTCTTACTCTATACTAGTCCTACTCTGTCAGCACAACGCTCTATTTATTTTGCCTTTTCCTGGGTTAAATAGACTGTTCTGCTTTTCTTTACGTTTCTTAATTAAAATCAACCATAAAATTGTTGGCTTGCTTGTTTTTTAATGTATTGTGGTAGTCGCCATAGAGAATTGCAACGAGCTAGTTGGTTGGGCAGTCAGAAGTGAGATTTTTGAGGCTGTTTTCTGTTCATCAAGTTTGTCAGTTATTATTTTCTTTTGATCTAGGTAATTTCTTCTGGTGTGGTCAGTCAGAAACCATGTTAGCAGATCAGTTGTCTCATCCCAGGTATCCAGGCAAATACAAATTATTCAAAATTGAAATGTGGCATAACGGGAAAGTAGATTATCAGAATAAAGAATACGTTGTAAGACATATGCTAGTGTATATCTGAATGTTACAACTGAGAGGTGAAGCAAGCAGAAATCTGGAAAACAATATTTCATGTAATTTCATTAACATGTTGTACAACCTGAATATTCTAGGACATGTTTTCATAAGTTTGCGATTTGGATTTTGACTTGAATGTGCCCTGTTCTTTAGAGTATGCGTACGTGCCCAAGTTGTACTGGTATCCCGCACATTTACAATTGCAGGCATAAATATGGCTATAATGGAGTACCTAAGTGCAAGAACTAATTAGAGATAGATTTAAAAGTTATCTAATATGATAGGGTTTACATCCATCTTTCTATTCGATATAAGCAGAACTAATCACGGTGTTTTTGGGTACATACTGTGTATAAGGGAAGAGGAATATCGCTGTTAAAAAATAAGGAATTAGATGAAAGTTTTAGCAGAAATATGAGCTGTCCTCTTTATTGCAGTTTTAATTTCTTTGCCGTAACCCTGCATTGCTAGCTTTTGGAGGGATTTCCTACTTAGTTTCTCTTTTCTCTCTCACATGCTATCTGATTAAGAGGCATTTGAGAAAACAAAATATTTCTTAAGATTTCATTAGAAATAAATGAATTCTTGGGTTTTTTTTTTGATGTTTTGTACCAAAGTTTTCCAGTTGTCCAACTTAAATTGGTGAAGTTGTTTAAAAATGGGGTTTAAATCTTTTTTACAGAACATGTGCAAGCATGTATTTTGAATATCATGTTATTTTAAACAAGTTGCATTCTTAATTTGCGGTGAGTTTTAGCCTCACATAGGGTGAGTATTTTTGAATTACACGAATAAAAAATTAAAACAAAAAAATGAATTTAAGTGAACTGTAGAAAAAGGACTTTGGACTCTTTGAGGTTTTTATTCTCTTAGAGTAGTGTTGCCATTGGTTTAACTATTTGCTAAGCAAGTTCACCGTGAGGCTGAAACCATATCTAGAAAGTAAAATTTATTTGATAAAATCCTTGGTAGTTTAAAACAAATGAGAGAGAAATTAGAACCAGAAACACTTGACTGACCTTGACCAGTTTGTCATTTCAACAGAAAAGTTATACTGAACTATCAGAAACTAGAGTAGCTCACTGATTCACGAGCGCTTTTCTCGCTTGTTTCGTTCACAGTTTGAAGGTCGGAAATATTGCGAGCATGACTTTCAGATGCTGTTTGCCCCTTGCTGCGGGGAATGCGGTAAGATCTCCAAGTACAGATCTATACAGCCTCATCCAGCTATGGATTTACCGTGATGTTAAGGGGATGTAGCTCTTCTTTTAGCATAGTCTTCCTTGCAACTTCTGCATTCATGTCAGCCCAACAGGGGTACAGCTGCCCTGCTGTGCAAGTCCTCCCATCATTGCAGTGACATCCAGTCCTATGTTGGGATTGCCGTGGTATTTTAAGGAGCAGGAACTCTGGATAGAAACAAAGCATGATATCAGCAGTAATTTGGTGTATTCTGATTGTGGGAAGAACTATTTTTTCCAAATAGAATATAGTAGTTATTGTGGAATTAAAAAGGAAATAATGGTGAACGGCACTAGGTTTTTGATACAACAACTTTATGTATACGTTTAAGGGTGTTGCTTGCTTTTTTGTAGGCGAGTTCATCATCGGGCGTGTTATCAAGGCAATGAACAATAACTGGCACCCAGAATGTTTCCGTTGTGAGCTCTGTGATGTGGCCCTTGCTGACCTGGGTTTTGTGAAGAATGCTGGCAGGTAAGAAAGAGCGGGAGCACTAAAGCTTTTGTCAGTATGTTGTTGTTGATACAGTAGTGCGAAGTTGAGAGTGGTTAGTTGCTTGTAAACATGGAGGTGAAGCTTGTAAAGGTGCAGAAGAAGCTTTAAGGAACAGACAATTAGCAAATGAAAAAACGAGAACAGTGTTCTTCACCCAGTAAGCTAGGAAGAAAGCAGAAACTCAAATATTAGTAGATTGTGGATGGGTTCTGGAGTAGAAAGCGATTTTAAGCAAAATGCTGGATAGCAGGTGAGAAACAGAGAGATTATGTGGTCCTGGGCCGGGTGCTTATCAAGTAAGCTGCTGAGCAGGAAATCAAGGCATAGCAAGAGACTGAGAGGATAACGCTAGGATTACAGTAAAACATGTTCAGTATAAGATTCCTGTGGTGTTTGTAAACCATTCATTTTATATATAGAAATATAAAAACAGGCCCTAAAGTTTGATTAATGCGTTTAATTGAGAAGTAAGTAATTAAAAACCTAAAAGGATACTTGTACAAAAGCATATCATGACAAGAAAATAAAACAATCCAGAAGTTAACATTCAGTGTTGCACGATTCACAGTTAACTTCAGGCTTTTGTATATCTTGCACAAAGCCTGGTAGTATCCTGGAGTCTGTATTTTCACTGAATGGTGAAAAAGGACAGGAAGGGAAAGGAAAGGTTATATATTGGTACCCTGTCCAGCAGGTTGCCCTCTCTAACTCCCTTTTCTGTTGAGTCCTGTGTGCAACTTCCAAGCCTTAGATTTTAGAGATGGGCCTAATAGATTTTCTTTTGACACCTAAACTTTTTAGACTGGGCTATTTTCATAGCACCCAGGGTAGTTCCTGGGTGTTCTGGGGAAGGCGGCTTGGTTTGCAGCAGTGCAAGCATGATGAAGTATTTGATTTGATTTTGTAATGTACGTACCAGACCTGAAAGGTAAGGATCTCATTCCTATAGCATAGAAAAGGGATTGGTGCGTACGTATGTGTGAATCTATACATAGAAAATATAACCCACCTATTGTGATTTCCAGTAACATCTGTCTCCATAGCATAGAAGTATTATTCTAGAAAATATTATTGGAAACTCTTGGGATATTTTCCCATTACTCTTAGTACCTCGTGATCATGAGGTATCATGAGGCAATTTGTATCAGTGAGGGTAGTTAAGATAATCTCTAACCTACTTTATCTGCAGCAAATTCATACTCTTGCTAAGTAAGTCACAGAATTTACACAGTTATAAAACACCTCAAAAATAAGAGTCTCTTCTGGGCAAACTGGACTTTACTTCTTCAGATGCTCACTTTTCACCTTTGCAATTTTTTAAAACAGTGATTCAGAATTTTATATAGTAAAGATGAATGCTATATTGCTAAACAGCACTTTTCCGTTCTTGCTTTAGTTGGAAGGTTATCAGGATATCCAGTATTTTGCAGGGAACTACATAAAAGAGGCACTGCAGTAAAGGTTGCTCAGCCTTTGTCCGCCTAAAGCCTTCAGGCCAGGGCAAAGGACGGATGGAAAAGGTAGTGTGATGTTTATTGCTCATCTCCAGCAATAAATGCTGGCAAGCAGTCTAAAAATTGTGACTCCTACCTTAATTCTAGATGGGTGCATTGCAGCGTTTTGCTTTTCCCCCCCCCCCTTTGCCACAATTTAGCACCAATTATCTGTCTGCTCTGTCTAAACACTTTGAATTTGCTGAATTGAACTAGACGTGCTACTATTCTGTCTCCTCAGGCAGGGCTCCTTCAGGGAATGGATCTCTACTGCTGGCCTGAAACAAAATTTTAAAGTAGGCTGTATGCTTTGTGCAGAGGGAGAGTCATTGCTGAGTATTTAGGGGGTGAATTTTATTTTTTAAGAACAAGCTGTCGGTTTAAGTGCCGCTTTGTTCCCTTCCCAGCTCGTCAGTATTCAGCCATCAGTTTCACGTCTTTGAAATCAATTGGTCTGTTATTGTACTTCTGTTTGCAGTTTCAGTAGGGCAAGAACGTGTGATCTCAGTTGTCAGAAGCGTTCTTCCTAGTTGTAGTCCCTTCCCAAATGGCAGAACTTCCCTCTTCAGGAATGAGTTTGAGTCTAGGTGGGCTATTTCTTGTCTGTGTAGCTGCCCGCCTGCTCTCTTGGCTGGTTTTGGTGGAACGCTGTTCTTATGTGGAAGCAGTGGCAAGAATCATGTTCACAGTTCAGATTTGGCACTTAGTGAGCTTTCGTTTGTCTTACCCTCATAAGTTTGAGGCAACATTAGAGTCCTTTTACCACAAAACAGATTGCACAAAGCCTCACGGAATTTCTCTGCTACGAAAAAATACATCACTGGGTCAAGGGCACCGTTTAGACTTGTGAGGCAGGAAGTAATGCGGTTACCGAGCGCTAGAGTGTGCTGTGTTTCGCAGGAAGTTTTGGTCCCATCATAATGAAGAATGTAAATGTAGCGATTGACATGATAAGGTACGAAGCAAATCAGAAAGATTACTAGCACCATGATGATCATTCTGATAGCTTTTTCCTTTAGATGTTTCTCAACTCTGTTCCCACTCTTCAAGCTTCGGATGATTAGTAAGTAGCAAGTCACTGTAGTAACAAACGGGAAGGTGAATGCCACTGCTAAGGACACAAGAGCATGACGTGATGCCTTTTCTCTGTAGAGCTGCAGGCAGACTGTTGCGTTGTTCACCTCTGCTGTCTGCACGCTGATCAGCAGGGGTGCCATTGCAACAGCAACTATAACCCATAGAAAGGCACATGCCAAATGGGCATAAAGGGACCTGCGGAGCTTGATAGACTTCACAGGGTGCACAATGGCTAGGAAACGATCAACACTGATACACATAAGGAAGTAGATACTGGCGTACATGTTGAGGTAAAAAAGGAAGCCTGTGAGTCTGCATGGGATCTCACCAAATGGCCAATGATTACCAGAAAAATGGTACACCAGCCGGGTGGGAAGTACCAGCACAAAGGACAGGTCAGCCACAGCCAGATGCATCAGGAAAATGTTGGCAGGTGTGCCTGACTTTTGGTCCCGGATGAAAAGCCAAAGAGCTAGGGCATTGCCGACAAAAGCCAGGACAAAGTCCAGGAAATAGAAAGTGGCAAAAAGGATGTTCTCCAGATGTGTTTCTTTGCCACATTGCTCTGAAGCTTTCAAAAAGAAAATTGATTGGTTTGAGCAATTGAAGAGCAGGCTTGAGGGATCTGCTGGGCCATGCATTCTTCACAACGGGGTTTGGAGTACAAAGCAGAAACCTGAAAGAATTGAGACAACAGCTTACGAAAGAGCCTAGTTTTGTGGGGAAAAAACCCCATGGGAATCGATGATATTTGATACTGATATTTAACAGGAGAGGTCAGTCTGAGTTATAACACTTACCTTAAAATTCTGAATACCTTCTGCTCAGCTGGGTTTTCTAGACCATTAATTCCTGTTGAAGGAACCACTGTAAAGAGTTAGTTAGCTGGTCATGAACTTATATCCAGGCTGTGCTGAGACCTGTTGGATGATAAAGTAGTTAAATGTTCATGTATTATGTTTATGGAAAAATGGATGTGGGTGCTGTATGTCTCGGTAGAAAGTAATTGCTATGTTTCATTTTGAGGCGCTGGGTTAGGACTAAAGAGCTCCAAATGAATCAGCTTCTCTGAACACAGAGACCTGTTGTAAGGTGACCTAGTTTAGCATATCAGCCTCCTTTCTAGAAGGATAGGTCTGGTACTGGTGTCATTAAAAATATTTCAAAGTGCAGGTTTCCTGAAAAATCTGCAGTGAGAATTATTTTAATCTGAAGTCCTGTATTTAACACAAACACTTTTAGATGCGATAGCAGAGAAAACTTTTCAGATGGGTAGCAGCATCTGATTTGAACAGTGAAACACACTGAATTGACTTGGAAAAGATTACTAGTTATGCCCATGCTGTTGGTTGTTGTCAAAGACTCATCCTTCTCTGCAGCGTTCCTCTTCTCCCAACATGACCATCTCTCTCCCTCAAAAGCTCCTGAGCTCCACTGTAGCTTATCCTGGGGCTTTTTCGAGTAGCAGCGTAGTAGAGCTGAACTTACTTTTGCTAGTCTTGTTTCCTGCAAGGTCCTGAACAGCATCAAGTAAGCCATTAGACTTTCTGGGCACCTACCCACAGCTTTTTATACGTTCATTTTGAATCTCCAGTGCTATCCCTGTTTCTTGGTTTTCTGAGAGGTGTATCAGTATTCACAGCGATACTTCCATTATGCTTACCATTTCTTTTGTACTGATTGACCGTTACTTGATAATATTCAGTGCGTTTTTAAAGGATAAGCAGCTAAGGAAGCTGAAGAAAGCTGAGACAGAGGAAACGTACAAAAAAGCAGAGGGCTAGGTTGTGTTGTAGAGATCACCAAGACAGCGTCAAGTGAAACTGGATTTGAAAAACACTTGGAAAAAAGTCCTGAAGTAGTGATAGCAAAAGACAAAATGAGTGTCCATTTGGCTTCGGCCATTTGCTTTTTGTCTAGGGAAGCTATGAAGTATGCGAAGGAAGTCTGTTCCTTTGACATACTTGTCAGCAATGAAAACGTCTATCAAGTGTTTTCTCTGTTAAGATCAGTCTGCTCCCTTTCCCTCCCCTGATGCTGAGATTGTAAGATAGTTGCTGACGTTGTAACAAAATTTTCAGTCTCAGCCAGAAGCTACCCTATGTGCAGAAATCTTACATCATTAGACAGTTGATTTGAGGCAGCAGGCAGTGTATCTAACTTCTTAACAGAACTTTTTATTCAGATATCCGTAGACACTGGTGGCTGATTGAGAAACTGAAATGGCTGGTTAGGAACAGACCAATAACATGGCAAATGGAAACAAAATTCCAAGGTAATTCCCATCTTTTGTTTGGTTCCTGTCACTTTCAGGCGGACAGAAAACTATAGTAGCTAGAGATGAATACGTTCTGGAGAAGTTCTGCTCAGTTCATAGAGACAAAAGTCAACAGAAGGGAGGAGAATGACTGAAATTCAGAAACTGAAATTCCTTCATGTGGCCACAGAGGGTCCTTCTGACTTCATGCATTGCTTATATATGCTGCATGTTTATGGTGCAAAAAAGACTCGAGTTTTGAGTGTATGGGGGTACTCCTTGTCTACAACTAGCTGCATGCTGTAGTCCTAGAGATGGCAACATACTATTATCTTGGAGTTACTAAAGCATGCATGCAAGGGAGATTGTACAGCCCTTTTTCCCCGAAGGACATCTAATTCTGTAAAAATACGACTGAACTCTTCAGCTACTCAGTTCCCATTGCTTACATGCACAAAAAGAAAATTAACTCTTGCTCTTTTCTGCATGAATTTACTGGCTTTGCAGAGAAGCCCATAATTGCTGTTGCTAGTGTTTATTTGTCCTTTAAAAAGTAAAATCTGCAAGTATTTTTGAACACAAGAGTTTGAAAGGTCTATGTGATGGTAACACTGAATGCTTAAGTGCTTGTCTTCCCTGGACAGAATTGGTTTAAGTATGTATTTTTCTATTACGTACCAATGGAGAAATAGGAGGAGACCATACCTTTTTGCTGGCTGTTAATTTACAGTGATACCTACTACTTGATGTTCTGGCTAGGTGATCTTTTTTGTGACAAGCGGTTTGTTTAAATATTTTTTCATCTGCCAAAAATATAAGGAGGTGATCCTTGTACACATACACGCCTGCCAGTGATCGGGCAGTCCGATGGCTAAGCATTGTTCTATACCTGGTTGTGACACCACTGCAAAAATAGCAAAATGCTGGACTGGACAAGCCGAAAAAGCTGAGGCAAGGGTGGCCTTATGGACTAGGCAAGGATGTCTTTTGCCTTGATGATATTTTCAAGAGGTGAAGCAGTAAGCAGAGATTTCTTTCCCGTTTCCAAGGTAAACACGAGGGGTTTAGCAGTCTGAAACATTCTGTCAGAGTTCTCCTGTTGATTTCTATTTGGACATGTTTTCAGAGCAAAATACTGTAGGGTCGAGGGGAGAGGAGGAAGTGAGGGACATCTAGAAGTCCAGTGGTTCAGTGACAAGAAGAGGAAGTGCTTAGAGCTGATGATAAAATGTAAATAGATTCCGTCTTTTAAAAGGAGCGCCTTCATAGGAAGGCTGTTATCTCATTTATTTTTTGAGAGGAAGGGGAAGGGAGGTATTTTTCATTGTCTTGTCAGAAATGATAGAAAAGTGAAATGGGTCTCTGTCTAATTTTGCTTAAGTTTTTAAACTAGAAGTAAATGTTGGTCAAGTTTTTTTCTTCACAATTCTGGTTGACTTGAAAGTCATAGCATAATGCTTGACTAGTTCAGAAAAAAAGCTGATGTATTGCTGGCATTAATTGCTGAACTGGTTTTCAGAGTTGAAGTATTGCCAACAAAAAGCTACCGGTAATAATTCTTTATATATTTGTAACTGTAGTCAGTATGGAAGGCCCTTTACTATTATTTAAAGTTGCATTCTCTTTTGTCTGTTTCTAACCTATCAATTTAAAATGAATATGTTTACTTTTGGGCTTTTTGTTTCTTTTTCATTTGATTCGCGTACAAAAAGCGCATTCTAAGTCCTTAAAAAGCTTGTTATACTAGTCAATATGAATGCTTAGAGCAAACTAGAAACTTTCCCACATGACCAAGATTTGTAGTTTGTGCCCATAGCTATATGGTGCAAGAGGCTTTGACTGCACAGGCAGAAGAACTCCTTTAGGAGCCTGGCTCGCTGTCCCGTATTTTCCGCTTGGATTGCACTCTTGGGGTTGTGCGAATATTTAGTGATTTACGTGTTGCTGAGCAGAGTGCTATTCTGGAGTGAGCAATTATCCCAGGCCTCCCAGAGCTGCAAGCTGTAAGAGGCATCGCGATGCTGCTCGTTTGAAATGCACGCACATCGACCATATTTTATGGCCCTGTTTCTCTTCTGCTCCGAAACGAGCCTGTCAGTATAGACACAGCATGATTACCCTCTCAGCGTGTGCTGTACCTGTCACTAATGTGACAGTGCGTAGGCAGCAAAAATAGGTGGCTTATCATAAATTAGTTACTCTAGCTAATTAGGCAGTTTTGTTCTTATGCCCGCTGTAAATGAATTTGAAGTATATGTTAAGGTTTTCAGAGTTTCCTATTCTTACTCCCAGCTAGAGCAGTTTCTGGTCGGAGAATATGTTTGATTGTGGGTTTTTATGATTATTATTATTATAGTGCTCTGTCAAATGGGAATGTTTCCTGTCTTTCACTAAAAGTATTTTTCATCAGAAATAGCCCACTTCTGACTGAAACTGTTCTGCTCTTGAAAATCACTCCCTGCTGAGTCTCCCACCCCTCAGCTGAGAACACTCGTCTCTTGTGAACACCAGAGCAGCGTCAGAGAGCGCTAGTCATAGTAGGTGACTGTCTGTTTTTCTGGCGCAAAGGGATGGACGTTAAGTACGGAAATTTAAAAACTTTTATGTTGTGGAGGAGTGAAGTAAAGAAGAGTGAGGATAGCAAAATTATTCTTTGAACTTTTAGAAATGCTGCCTGTTCTTAGTTTCAGACATTTCCATTATGTTTGTCAGCCTCTGCGTGTGTGTCTGGCCGCCTCACTGACACCAGCCAGAACTAGTGCTGCTAGGAAAGCTCCTTTGTTATTCTCCCAACAGAAGCTCATCTCTTACCTCTTTACGGTGCAGTCCTACGGGTGGAGTATAGGGTCCTTTTGGGGAAAAACTCAGGGAACTCCTTCTGCTGACAGCAAACCAAAAAGAAGCTGCAGTGGTGAAAACAATGAGATGATCCAAAAAGAGCACACAGTAGCAGACAAGTGAGGGTGGAGAAGGGACCCCCTTTATATAGTGTCCTGCTAGCTCTGATAGCGCATTATCAGCTCAGTCGCACAAGAGAGCAGCGGAGAGGACACCCCAGCACTGAAGAGCAGTCTTCATTCCAGCTGAGCCCTTGGCACGGGGAGGCTGCTGCTGTTAGAGATATGTGTATGCTGTATGAATATTCCTATGTTCATAGTGCTCACTAAAAGCTGCTACTGAACTCCCAGCTCTTTTAACACAGACTCCTTGGAGTCCTCTGATTATTTTAGGAGGGTGGAGAGAAGCATTGTTCGGGGGGAGTCTGGTATTAATAGACACAACAGGACATTTCAGAATGGGATAATTCCATACTGGTGGGAGTGGGGAGGAGGCGAGGGAGAGGGGCGGCTGCTATGGTAACAGCTCAGCCTGTCCAGCACTTCCCTTTGCGTGCGATAGAGGAGGGTCTATGGGACAGCAGAGAGGGTTTCTCAATGGGGAGGGGTTGATAATGGTTTATCAGTGCAAATGGCTGAAGGCCCCTTATTCAGCTGAATGAGAGGGGTCTCTTTCAGGACACTTGCTTCAGGGTCCCTGTGTCCTGCCCCGTATAATTAGTCTCCATTTGACAGTGCTGAATAAAATTGATGCCTTTATGCTGAGATGAGCACAGCTGCATGTTTCCTTATAATGGGGTGCTGTCTGCTTTTTCTGGGCTCCGTCTGGGAGGACAGTAGTTTCAGCCCTGGAGAGAGACTCTTGCTGACAGGAGGACTCAAAAAGTGGAGAGAATAATAATGATACTTAGCACTTAGACAGGCGCCTGCCAGCTGAGGGTCATAAATGTTTGAGGTCTCAAAACAATATCTGTGTTGTATTCTTATCCCCTTTTTACAGATCGAAGGGTGATTCATCACAGCAGAATTTTGGAAGGGGCTTTGCAGTGAACCCACTACTTTAGCTGTGAATCTACTCTTTC